TTGGCGGACGTTCTTGGCTTCAATTTTACGGATGTCTTGGCACCAGCTGAAGCTTGCCCCCGTCCACGGCCGACATCGTCGGATTTGCGCACGGTATTCGGATTTTGCTATTTGCTCGTGTGGGGGGTATATTGCAGATTTGTCAATGGTACCGCGTCTGCGTATCTCCCTCTATCTCCGCGGATTTGGCGGACGTTCTTGCCTTCGATTTTACGGATGTCTTGGCACCAGCTGAAGGTGTTCGTGTGGGGGTATATTGCAGATTTGTCAATGGTACCGCGTCTGCGACGCGGGCGCCTTGCGGGCAGAGCCCTTAGCCACCCTTCCTTTATATCTTGCGCGGTCAAAACCTGAGCCAGGCGGTTAGAGCTGGGCTGATGGCGCTGCTCATGCCGCCAGAAAGAACATGCCGCTACTGTGATGAGCGCGCCCGCAGCGCATGTCAAAGCAGTCATGCGGTCACTATATGCAGATTCAATTCAATTCTTTGCGGGATTTTTCTAATCACTTTTCCTCTTGTGCAAATAAGTAAATGGACAAAAGGGATGGGTCATCCTCAATCAACGTACAACGAACGATAAATAAAGAGAGAGTTTTTGTTAAATATGGTCCGACACATCTAACTAAAAAAAGAAAGGGCGGGGAGGGGATAAGTACTCTTGAGGGAAACAATGGACCGTCAGGCCCCGGGGACTGGCCAGCCCGACTAACACAACCTTAGGAACACCATTTTGCGGTCCTGAGCGGCCGTCTCGGAGCAGAAGCTTCCCTGCCTCCTTGGCCATGTTGCGGTGCCCTCGCGCCATCTGGTCCACGCACTGCTCGCAAGTAAATCGTCTTCACAGGTCGGCAAATACGCCTCACCTTCAAAAGGGTGGCTGCCTACCCCAAAGCCTAGCCCGGGTCATCGATCTCTCTTGACGATTTCACTTTAAAACGCTGGTGCTCATGGGGTTTTCTCTATACACTATAGAAGTCGGAGCCTTGCGTCCAAGGATTAGGCAGCGTGCGGCTCCCGGTGGACTCGGCCATCTCCCGCGGGTGAGAGGGCGAGAGGACGCATGCCCGCCCTCTGAGGCGGCCGTCCGAGTCGGGGAGGCAACCACACAACCATCCTCGCGGGTGTGGGCGGCCTTCTCGGCCCGCTATGCAAGCCCTAAGTCGGCCCTTCCTCGTCGGGTCGGCTCCGGGGACCCCGTAGCCCTAGCCGGAGCTAAGGGGGCCGGCTTTTTCTGCGCTAACCCTAGGAATCGCTCCGGTGTAGGGTTCCCGGCACCATCGAGCGGCGCCACACCGATGGAGGGAGTCGGGTTTGCCATTGGCGGGCCGTGAGGGCGCTGAGAACTCAAGGCTTGCCCATTCCGGAGTGGTTCGATCCCACGCAACCCGATACGGTGACGAGAAGCGTTCTGGTGGTCTCAGGCCCAGTGAGGTAGTGCACTGGTCTAACTCGGATCCTGCTGAACAAGTTCCTCTTGTAGCTCGATCGGTCACTCCGCCATCGCCGTCGGGGAGAGTGTCGCAGGAGGTGGTGGAGAATGACCTCCAGACTGACCCGGAGAATCACCTCCACCAGCCCCACCCCAGCACCTCTATTATCACACTCTCCCCCCCCACAGTGATGAATAGTCTACCTATACCCCTATGTTCCCACACCCTGTGCAGTGGCACGTCGTTGCCACCCAGACCCCTAATATTAGACATCTTGGGCGCCGAACAGGCGCCCAAGTAGTGACACGTCACGCTTCCCCAACTCCCGTTGTGCAAGTTTGGCACGTCATAGTCTCGACTGCTTTCGTGGGGCCGCCGCGCCGCGAGACAGTCGACCTCTTTAATGTTGTGACACCACAACTCGGTGCAACTGGCGCCATTCTTCCACCGGTGTGACACCACACCTTCGTACTTTGAATACCTTCTACACATATGTCAGCCTCGGCTTGAGGATGGCTTTACAGCCTCACCAGCGGTCAGCAATACCGCAGAGCCGCGCACGCGGCTCACCACTCACACTTGCTGGGCACCGATCTTCGGGTTCAGATGATCATCTCTCGAGCGAGAGACGAGGGACGCCTCACGAGCCTACGGAGGGCCTCGACCCGTCTTCTTACTGGTCAGACCACTCTAATCCCCACGACACCACGTTGGGCAGGCTTGGTGGCAACACCGAGCCCAAGGGCGGCATCGATGTACTTGACAAGTCATCGCCGCCTGGCTCCGTTGGGGAGGGGGCTACGCCAGCTGAGATGCTTTCTGCCGAGCTGCCGGCGAGCTCTCCTCCGACGGAAGCCTCACTAGACCCGAAAGGGTTTGGCTTGACCGTGGCAGCAAGCAAGCCAACAGCAGTGATCTTGCGGCGGGACGCGAGCGTCACGCAACAACGAGACCTAGACGCCCGAGAGGGCATTCAACCAACATCCGATGAGGCTTTGGGCGTGCAGGAACCTGCCCAGAACCTCGGTGTATCACCTCCACCATCGCCTCTGCTGGCCGCCGCAGGACAGCCACCAACACCAGTGCCGCTGCCGCAGTCAGGCGCGCACGGCGCGCGCAACTACCTCGACATCATTCTATCACCAGCGCCTACGCGACCGAGCTCCCGTGCTCCGCCGTCTGCCTTGCCGCCTGTCAAGCCATCCAGCTTTCAGCTCGCCGCCTCGCGCGACACGCCACTCGAGGCTGTCGTCGCGGCCGAGGACACAGCCGCTGCTAAGCCAGACGCCGCCTCCGGCGCCGTCTCCCCATCGCCGTCGCCTTCGAGCTCGAGCCGAGCAGCTTCGCCGCTCGCTTCGTCGCCTCTCGTCGAGCCGCCATCAGGCTTACGGCTCGCTTCGTCGCCTCTCGTCGAGCCGCCATCAGGCTTACGGCTCGCCGCCACCTCGCGCGACACGCCACTCGAGGCTGTCGTCACGGCCGAGGACACAGCCGCTGCTAAGCCAGACGCCGCCTCCGGCGCCGTCTCCCCATCGCCGTCGCCTTCGAGCTCGAGCCGAGCAGCTTCGCCGCTCGCTTCGTCGCCTCTCGTCGAGCCGCCATCAGGCTTACGGCTCGCCGCCACCTCGCGCGACACGCCACTCGAGGCTGTCGTCACGGCCGAGGACACAGCCGCTGCTAAGCAAGACGCCGCCTCCGGCGCCGTCTCTCCATCTTCATCGCCGTCGCCTTCGAGCTCCTCGCCATCGGCTCCGCCGCTCGCCGCTTCGTCCGTCGCGCCGCCGTCCGCCGCGCCGTCTACTCGCCAGCTTGCTGACTCACGCTACACGCCACTCGAGGCTGTCGTCGCGGCCGAGGCTACAGCCGCTACTAAGCAAGACGACGCTCGCGACGCCGTCTCGGGGGCACCGCCCATGCCAACCATATTACACCCGAGCCCGCCCTCCGCTCTGCTTCCGTGGCCTTCTTCTACTCCGCCAGTCGCCGTGCTGTCAAGCCTTCGTGCACCTATCTCACGCGACACGCCATCGCTTGAGGCTGTCGTCGCGGCTGAGTCCGCTGCTGCTCCAAGGCCAGTGACGCTAGACCCGCACGGTGCAAATGATGCCACGCCCCGTAAGCCGCGCCGTCGATCAAACTGTGCCAAGAAACCCCGACCGTGGCGGCGCGAGCGACGCGAAAACCCCACCCCCTCGCCGCCGATAGCGGATAACGCCGCAGCCGGACCCGCCGCCGCAGACTGCTCGCCTGACGCGCTCGACGGTATCTCCCCTGCCGATTCGCCGGTAGCTGGCTTCACGAGCGCATCGCCTCCGCATCTCTCGGCCGTGTCGCTCGAGACGGTGCCCGGTTCGGATCCCATCTCTACTCTCGCTTCGCCGCCGATAGCGGATGGCGCCACGACCGAAGCCACCTCGCCGCCGCGGCGCGCTCCTTCATCGACTCGCGCACGTCTTCTGCCTCAACACGCTTCTTCCCGAGCGGCTGTGACGTGATTACCGCCCTCAACCCACTACCAGAGCTCTGGCTTGGTGGAACATTTGAACCACCAAGCCGGCGCCGCCTTGGGCAAGGCGCTAAACTGCACCCGTCGTGGTGGGTTAGTCATCATCACGCCGTACAGGGACTCTTCACGATGATCGGTCGCCATCGTGTCGGACGCAGACTGATCAACGTCTAGTGGGGCACGACATTAAATTGCATCCTACCTACCAAGCTATCAAGCTCAAGCTACAGGCTACCAGGCTCTAATACTGGCTACCAGGCTCAAGCTATCAAACTACCAGGCTCAAGCTATCAAGCTACAGGCACCGTGCTGACAGGGTTATCCATATCAGAGCGCCATCCAAGCTACCATGCAAGCTACAGGCACCGTGCTGACAGGGTTATCCATATCAGAGCGCCATCCAAGCTACCATGCAAGCTACAGGCACCGTGCTGACAGGGTTATCCATATCAGAGCGCCATCCAAGCTACCATCCAAGCTACCAGGCACAGAGAGTGCCAAGCTACCAGGCTCAACCTATCAAACTACCAGGACAACCCTGACAGCCACGAGATGGATACACCAGCCCTCCGGGGTGTGAATAATACCGGT